TGGGCTGCAGGGGGACAGCCTGCTCCACCATGGTCACCATGGGCTGCAGGGGGACAGCCTGCCCCACCATGGTCACCATGGGCTGCAGGGGGACAACCTGCCCCACCATGGTCACCACGGGCTGCAAAGGAATCCCAGCTCCGGCACCTGGAGCAGCTCCTTCCCCTCCTTCTCCACTGACCTTGGTGTCTGCATCCCTCACATGTTCTCACCTCCTCCTCTGGCAAAACTAGTGTGTATCCCCCTTTGTTTTGATTTCTTCTGCAATATGTTTTCACAGAGGTGTAACCACCATCTCCAATTGGCCCAGGTTTGGTCAGTGGCATGTCCATCATCCTCAGAGCCAACAGCAATTGGCTCTGCCGGACATGGTAGAAGCCTCCAGAAGCTTCTCACAGGAGCCATTTTTTGGCCCCCCGACTTCCAAAAACTGGGCCAGGAAAACCAACACACTTCCCTATCCAGAAGTCATGGAATGTTGGTTTTCCCAGGATTTCAGGCAGTGGGAAAAGGAGGGACACTTCCCCTCCAGTAAGAGATGTCAGTGCTGCTCAGGTCTCTCCCGGGAGGAATGGGGAGCTCTTGGCACTGTCAGCATCATCCCAACCATTGCAGGCACCTCCCCTAGGAACAGATCGTGTATGAGATGGGTACCTGCCCTCCTCAGAAAAGACAGAGGATATAGAATGAGAGAAAAATGAAGAAACGAACCATTTTTTATGCTGTTCAGCAGGGCCAAGCTCTGCAGCAAAGCGTGGATGTTGCTTATTAAACAAATCTTGCTGTCAGAATCACACTGGGAACTAACATAAGAAATAAATCCAAGTCTGATTTAGGGGTAGTAACAAAAGGAAAAAGTTCAGTATAATCTGGATTTTGGCTGAAGCTGCTGTGCAGAGTCGCTGTTCAGTTCCTCCTGAGCATGGCCAGGGTCAGGACAGAGGTGGTCAAGGGTTTCCTTGGACATTGATGCTGAGGAACCAGAGGACTGCCCTATTCTGCAGAACAGCATCATAAACCCCCAATTTTTGTACAATTAAATGGCCCAAGCATCTGGTGATGTGAATTTCCATATTTTGAGCTCTTTTTGGTCACAGGCACAAGGCTTCAGTGGAGTTCAGCATCGACCCTGCAGTTTACTCAGAATGATTTAATTCTGGAATTACAGAATGTGACAAATTCCCCCATCAGCAGAAGGGAATGTTGCTGTTCCTGCCCAGCTCTGCAGCCCTACCTGGTGCCAGCTTGGTCTCTTCCCATCAGCCGGGAATGCAGGGCCGGCTCTGCGGGACAGAAGGGGAAAGATGCTCCGGGCCATCCCAACCCCTCTCCTGCCATCTGGAGGCACCAGCCCCGCAGAGATTTGGGAAATCACCGCTGCCCCGTGCTGGGTGTGTCCCCAGGGCTCAACCTGTSACACCCTGTCCAGGCAAGAGATCCCCCAAAACACCGTGAGACTCCTCTGCTGAGCCAAAGGAGACGCAGTTTATTCCCTGGGGCCGAGGCACTGAGGGTCATTCCATGGGCACTGGAGCTGGGGAACAGGACTGAGCCCGGCTGCCCTGCTCAGAGCCGTGTGGAACCGGGAGGGAGGAGGAAAGCCACGCTCCAATGTGCTCCCTGCAGAGCATCCCTCCCACATTGCCCGTGGCAATGCCCCTGCTCCCTTCTCCTGCAGGATTGCAGTGCAGGAGGGGATCCTGTGGGTATTTATTGATCAGGTGAGTCAAGGAAACCCTCAGGCACTGTCCCGGGGTCCTTCAGCAGTGCAGGGGAAGGGATGAACAGGCTCAGAGCACCGTGTCCTTGGTGGCATCATTTCTCCTGGGAGTATTTTCTTCTGGCTCCTCAAAAACCCTTTGGAGTGATTCCCTGAGGGACCCCACAGAGCAGGGTCTCCAACACCTCCCCACCAAAAAGTAAATGAAGGGTTTCATGGTGCTGTTGATGCAGGCGATCAGGAAAAGAAACTTGGAGGACACAGGGGTGTAACCGAGCTGCTGCAGGAAATTCCAAAGGGTGAGGACGAGACTGAAGAGCACCATGAGGAAGATGGCGATGTCGCGCCTTTTGCGTTGCTGCTGCTGGGAACCACATTTGGCCTTAATGAAGTAGATCGTGGTGGAAATGACTGTGGATGCAGCACGGAGGAGCAGGATGACAGTGAAAATGGAGAAGAGAGCTGCCCAGCAGTGCTGCTGCTCATGTGATGGGCACAGAACTGTCACTGTGGGAATGACAGTGATGAGAGCGAAGAAGGCCCAGAGTTCCATGCCCATCAACACCCACAACAGGCGCTTGGGGAGGTGGCAGCGGCAGAGGAGCTCACAGAGCTTGTCAATGCCCGTTGCTATGCCGAAGTCTGTTAGCCAGAACAGCACCCAGTAGTAGGAGACCATTGACAGCTGGAAAAGGAAGCTCAGGTACACCAGAGGCACAGTTGGAGAGCAGGACATATCCTCCAGCAGGAAAAGCAGGGAAGAGGGCACCGTGAAGACAAGGAAGAGGAAATCAGCTACACCCAAATGAAAGATAACACTGTTAGTGCTTTCCAGTCTGAGGAGGCAGAGCACAGCCCCATTCCCAAACAGCCCACAGAGGCAGATGAACAGCATGGCACTGTGGATGGCCACATTGGTGATATCTGCCTCACATGGATCTTCAGTGGGTGAGGTGGGAGGTGTGGACATGGTGCTCATCTCCATGGATGGACGCTGGGCAGGCAGTGGGATGTGGCCCCTGGCTGTGGTCACTGTGGATGGGCAGTCAGTGCTTGGAGAATCCCAGGATGGACCATGCAGCTCCTCAGCAGCTCCCTGCAGTGGGAAGGATTCAGTGGAGAGAAGTGAGATGTGCGGGGGAGAAGGGAGGGTTGGGGATATTCAACAGGAGACTGATAATGAACAGAGAAAATAAAAAAATATTCAGTTCTGCTGAAGCTGCTGAAAGACCAGATGAACAAAAAGATAAAAGGATGTAAAAGCAGGCACACATGATGATAAATGTGGCTGGAACCAGTGAAGAAACAGATAAGGAGGCCTGCAGTGGTTTTGGGTCAAGTTCTGTAACAAGAAACAACAGCACATGGGCAAAGGAAAAGTTCAAGTCAAGGTCACCTTTAATATCACAGCACTCAGTGAATGCAACCACCAGAGACCCCTCTCCATGATCCTCCAGGACCATGAAAGGACTCCCAGTAGGAGATTGATGCATGGAAATTAGATCTGGGCAAGTGGTGTTTATGCATCAGATAAGAAACACATTTTAATGACTGTGATTGTTATAATGGCTAAAATCCTGTTGTAAAGTCTCAGCACACAGAGAACAAGAAGAGATCCATCTGTGTGTCCTACGGGGGTGTTGTGGTTTGAGCCCTGGCCGAAGCC